GTTTATTAAAATGAGAAAATGAAAATTACCAACTTGTTTCTCAGTTGCTAAAATCTTTGCCTTATTTGTGTTCGTTCAGAATGTATTTAACAAGCCAAAAGGAACAAACTCGTCAGCGGTGTCCCTGTCTCAGGGCCAAGTGGTTGTAAGCCCACCGGCTGGGTCATCAGTATCAGCTGGAGGAGGTAACACCTCTGCTGGTTCCCCTGCCTCCATCAGTGGTTCTCCTGCAGCCAGTTTCCGGCCTCTTGCGGCCCCATCCCAGCAAGTTGCTTTAACCCGGACACTTGTTAAACTCAAGTGTCAGCACTGTAACCATCTGTTTGCCACAAAACCAGAACTTCTGTTCTACAAGGTAAAGAGAAATTATGAAAGAGATTGAATTGTAAACATATCCATTAGAAGCATTTATCTTTTCATCTTTGACAGTCACTTCATTTGCTTTGAAATGAGAATGATTTCTTAAAGATAAAGCAACTGTTAATTAGGTCTTAATGACTTTTTTTTTTTAATCTCTGCAGGGTAGAATGTTTCTTTTTTGTGGCAAGACTTGTTCTGATGAATACAAAAAGAAAAATAAAGTTATGGCAATGTGTGATTACTGTAAACTGCAGAAAATTATAAAGGAGACTGTCCGATTCTCAGGGGTTGATAAGCCATTCTGTAGTGAAGGTAAAGAAAGCAAGCGGTTCAGCTTTATCCACAGAGCTTGTGGTTGGTACAAAGTAGTTCATGCTGAGTTGGGCTATTCTACAATTAATTTTCAAGTAATTTTGTTTTAGGTATAATTTCAGGTTTTTTTCTTTCTTGAGTTTATACTTAATTCATTTTATTTTTCATGCTTAATTCACTTTAAAGTCTTTTTAAATATTATAATAATCTCAAAGAAAAACTTGAAACAAATTTAAATATTGTGATTATGATTTGCCAAATTGTAGTGATTTTTAAAATTACAGTCATCTAAATAAATTGCTTAAAACTAAAAAAAAAAAACTTTTGAAAGGTAATTCGGTCAATGGTATTAGGTTAGAGTGTAAAAAAATCTCTTCATAAGTTTATCAGTGACTTGAGAGATCTTCCTGTTCTTGCACCCACTTGTAAAGAGGATACTTAAGCAATTACTGCTTCTTGGCTTAAGAAGCAAGCAAGAAACTAGCTTAGTTGGTGTCTGAGACTGTGGAAACTCACTTTACCTCCTTCGAGTTAATGTAAGTTTGATGTTTCTTCCTCTCATCCCTTCTGGTTCTCAGTTTGCAAATTCCTCTCTGCCCGTGACTTTGGAGAGCGCTGGGGGAATTACTGTAAGATGTGCAGTTACTGCTCACAGACATCCCCTAATTTGGTAGAAAATCGATTGGAAGGAAAGCTAGAAGAGTTCTGTTGTGAAGATTGCATGTCCAAATTTACAGTTTTGTTTTATCAGGTAAATGTAATACACCTTTTTGGTTTTCTGAAGTTAGTACAAATTATTTTCTTAAATACGTTCAGATCATGTGAAGTAAAATTTAGTGTTTAGAACTGGGTAAAATAAATTATGGGCTCCCAAAGCAAAATTCAGTTGAATATAAACATGAAATTTTGATGGTAAAGAGCATATGATATCTGGAGGCTTTGTTGTTTGAGGGTATATTCCTTTTATTTTTATCTTTTGCTTTCTCTTGAGGCACACGAACCTTATTTATCACTGAGTTCTTTCAAGTTGCCTTTAAGTTGCCTTTATAGTTGTGTTGCCTTTAAGTGGCTGTCTCATTCAGAAGGTTACTCTGATGAATTTGAAGTCAGACCTTGTTCTTGCTTCATAGGTCAAATGACTGTGACTGACCTCCTTACCCACTTATTTTTTATTTTTATTTTTATTTATTTTTTCAACGTTTATTTATTTTTGGGACAGAGAGAGACAGAGCATGAACGGGGGAGGGGCAGAGAGAGAGGGAGACACAGAATCGGAAACAGGCTCCAGGCTCCGAGCCATCAGCCCAGAGCCCGACACGGGGCTCGAACTCACGGACCGCGAGATCGTGACCTGAGCTGAAGTCGGACGCTTAACCGACTGCGCCACCCAGGCGCCCCTTTACCCACTTATTTTTTAAAAAATTATTTTTTTGGAAGGCTAACAATGAAAGCTACAATTAATTGAACCACTAATACAGGTCCAGTGCTTCATAAGTGTTATTGCATTTAATCCTCACTATAATCCTTAGAGGTAGGTGTGTTATTACCAGCTTAGAAATAAGGAAAAGGAGTAAGATCCAGGGAGGTTCAGTAGTGTATTCTTCAAGAAGCTGGTAGGTGATAGCTGGATAGCACCTATAACACACCAGTGAAATCATCTGTTTGTCTCCCTACCCGCTAAAATACAATATTTTTGTTTGGGAGGTATGTCTTTATCATAATTATGTGGCGCCTATCTCAGTGCTCAAGACAAAGCGTACCTAATTAAATAGTTGTTGAATGAATCAATGTCTTTACAACTCTAAAGTGCATATTCTTTCTACTACATGATGTCACTGCTTAACCTTTTAAAAATAGAGCCTATCTTTAGATTCCTTCATCAGTAATTTTGAAAATGGGAGATCAGTTTTTATATTCTGTAGATGGAGATATGTATGTAAAGCAAATAAATATATATTTTAATATTTATTTATTTATTTTGAGAGAGAGTGTGCACAAGAGCAGGGGTGGGGCAGGGGGAGAAGGAGAGAGACAATCCCAAGCAGGCTTTGCACTGTCAGCAAGGAGCCCAACTCAGGGCTCCATCTCATGAACCGTGAGATCATGATCTGAGCTGAAATCGAGTTGGACACTTTTCCAACTGAGCCACCCAGGCGCCCCAAGTATATGCATTTTTAACCAGAATATTTTAAGGTAGGAACCTTACATTTTGTAATTTCAGCTGATTTACATATCCTGTTTTCATAGTGCCTTCTGGTTTTATGATTAATGTTATCTTTTCATTATTTTATGGTTTTAAGCCTATCCTGTCTTATATTTTTTTCTCAGATGGCCAAGTGTGATGGCTGTAAACGACAGGGTAAGCTAAGTGAGTCCATAAAATGGCGAGGAAACATCAAACATTTCTGTAACTTATTTTGTGTCTTGGAGTTTTGTCATCGACAAATTATGAATGACCCTCTTTCACAAAATAAAGGTAAAAATTAAACTTGGCTAATGGGATCTTTATGTCAGTGCTAGGATATACTATTAGTACACACAGTTGTAAATATAATAGCATCAAAATTTTATTGAATTCAAATTGCCTGGATGTCCTTAAATTTTCCTGTAAGAATTAAAAAAAAATTTTTTTTTAATGCTTATTTATTTTTGAGAGACAGAGACAGAGCATGAGCAGGGGAGGGGCAGAGAGAGAGGGAGACACAGAATCCGAAGCAGGCTCCAGTCTCCGAGCTGTCAGCACTGAGCCTGATACAGGGCTCAAACCCACAAACCATGAGATTTTGACCTGAGCCGAAGTCGGATGCTTAAATGACTGAGCCACCCAGATGTCCCTCTTGTAAGAATTCTTAAAAATTGCCCTTCAGGGAAAATCAATCCTGATGCTTTTTGCTATCATAATCAAACACACCGAGGAATCAATAAATGTATTTTATAGGAAAATTAGATTTGATTGCTTTTGGTTGATGTTATCTGTACATAAATAATTTCCACTAAGGGGCATATGTTATTCAGTTAATAAACTAGAAAAAAATAGAAAATCAGGGCAAACAGAAGGAGAGAATAGAAGCATGTTAATACAGTTGCTATGACTGGTGTAAGATTTGATCAAGAGTTTGATTGTAGCCAAGGAAAAAAGAACCAACACATTAATTATATCAGAAAAAATAAAGTAGACCAGTTCTTCATAGGTGGCAAAAATTTTTTTGGCTAAGAATAATTTTGCAAGTAGGAAAGCTAATATGGTCAAAATATCCAGATGAATAGTTACATGTGTGGCATGTTCTTAAAGTAGCTCCCTGAAGTAGTACTTCTCTGAATTAGGGTAAAACCATTTGATATTATGCTGTCTGATCAAAGCCTGGAGTGCTGTTGAATTGACAGAATCCATGTGCTTTGTCCTTACAGTCTGGCCCTTGTCTACCTTTGCAATTTTATTGATCATCATCTTAATCACATATGCCATGTGCCAATCTTTTATGTCATCATCCATTCCCTAAGACCAGTCAGGTCAGTCAGTGGTAGAGTTTTTATTTTATAATATGTGTTGACAAACCAGCGGATGGGTAGCAAACTTACCAACTTCTTTATAAAAACTGTCATGTTAAATTTTTATTTGAAGCAAGCTTAGGTGGAGGAGTTTTAATATTCACTAATAGGAAGGCCAGTTAATTCTAAAGCTAATACCTATATTTTTAAATAGCATTTGAAGTTTATAATTTTAGAAAATCAGGCTGTTTTTAAGTCCTAATGAATGTTAATCTGACCAGAATCACTCTTTTTATAGAGTTACATTATACAGAGTTAGATATTTGCACTGTTTCTTGGAAACTTAGTTGTCGAACAGGGTTTTGTATGTGTGTGTGTGTGTGTAACCCTTTTGTTTATACTAGGTCTTACCTTTTTGTTTTAATCAGTAAATATTTATAAGGCGCAAACTACTTCAACGGAGCTCCCTTCTACAAGGAAAAATACAACACCAGTTATAACCAGTGTGGTGTCATTGGCAAAAATACCTCCTGCCCAGCCCACAGGGAACACTAATAGTGTTTTAAAAGGTATGACTTGATGTAAAGGCATTTAATTAGACTATAGAGTTAAATGTTTTGCCTAAGTAGCTCTTGTTAGTAATATTTACTTTTATATTTCTGTGAGGAAACATGCCCCTTTTTCTCAGAGGGAAGTGGGTAGCAGGCATATTGGCATGGGTAGGGAAGGAAGAGGCGTGTACAATTTATTATTATTCTTTTAAACCTAAGTGATTTTAATATAGTTGCCTTTATCACCGGAGATTCTACTGTAGTAGGATGAAATTGGGGCCCAAGAATCCTTACCTTTCTCAGGCATCCCAGGTGATATTGATGCCCAGTTTTCTTGGACCATTCTTTGAGAAATTCTGGAGTAGACTCTGGCCCACCTTAGTGAGAGGAAAATAACTTGTTGGTCTCAGTGTTTACATCTGTATATTTTGGGGATAATAATGTGTGTGTTCATTTATAACAGGTGCAGTTACTAAAGAGGCAACACAAAAAGTCATTGAAGATGTAAGTTTTATTGTTAATATTTTTCCTCATAATGCCACTTGGGTTTATTTTCATTTTGGATGTAGCATTCTAATATGTATCTGAATGCATTTCGCTTAGTCTTCAAAAAAAAGTAGAGTATTATGCACTGATTTTGTTTCGGAATCTTAAAGTTACATTAATAAGAATGCATTTCTGATTTATTTTGTTGTGTTCTGGCTCCTGAATTTCTTTCTTTCTTTTTTTAAAAAATTTTTTAAAATTTAAAAGTGAGAGAGAAAGAGCACGAGCAGGGGAGAGGGCAGAAGGAGAGAGGGAAAGAATGTTAAGGAGGCTCCACACTCAGTGCAGAGCCCAGTGCAGGGCTTGATCCCATGAGCCTGGGATCATGACCTGAGCCGAAATCAAGAGTGAGACGCTCAACAAACTGAGCCACCCGGGCTCCCTGGCTCCTTAATTTCTTTAAATTCTTGTTAATTCCATCTGGCTGCTTATTTTTCTCTTTTACTACATTCAAGTATTTTTCTTTTAGACTGGAAAGTCTCTTGAAAAAGTTCAGTGTAGTGTTATTTTATGCATCTTCAAATTATGTGAAGCTGAAAATAGTGCAAAGTAAAAATACATTTAAGTTCCCACTTTATGTTTCCAATTTGAAGTATTGTGAAACTTTTTAAAATTAAAAAAAATATTTTGAGGAAACACATAATTTCAAATCTGACTAGTTGAAAGGATTGCAAATTATGTCATTATTTTCCTATATCTTGTGTTAGCAGGAAACAAAATTCCCATCATCTTTTATCAATATCACATGAACCTAATATATTGGATCTTGGGTTAATGTTTTTGGTGACTGTTTTTGGTAGCTGTCTTAACATTTGCTTTTGGTATAGTTAAAGATATTTTTGTATGTCATATAGCAGTGTCATTCAAGTTCATTAAGTAGTGGTGCTAGTGCTAAAAAACTGTACCCCAAATTCAGTATCTTTGGAACAGAAGTTAGATGTGATAAAACTCTGTGAGAAAGGCCAGACCAGGATGTGATCCCCCATGCAGTTCATTTAGGAGAGTGCAGCCTGCAGAATATTGAGATAATGCTCAAAAAAACAAAAGCAGCATTAAAGAAGATACATCGTTTAGTTCACACACATACACTCTCACACACACACACACACACACACACACACACACACACACACACACACACAATCTTATAACCAGGCAAGAATAATGGAGTAAACGGAAAAAATCCTGGCAACGCAGCTGCAAGATCAGTGCTGCTGTAATGCCCCCCTAAGTTCAAGCCATTGCCTGTGCTAAGGCCTGAAGTAATTTTAATGATTTGAAAGGAGTTGAAAGTGAGACAAAAAAGTTCACTACAAGTCATGGCTGGCCTAATTTTAAAGCCTACCAAAGTTTTAAGAGTATAAAAATGAGCAGGCAAGCTATAGCTGCTAACCAAAGCTATCAAAACATTTCAGCTTTACCATAATCTAAAGAGGCTTTATCTTGGAAGACGGCAGCCTCACGCCTGATAAACAATCTGTGAAAGTGACAAAGAAGGTGAATTTGTGCAAGGTTGGTGAAGGGGATGCTGAAATTTCACTTGGGTGGTTCTCCAAGGAGTAATACAGGAAGACTTGCTAGAATTAGAAAAACAAAGGCAGCTGGAAGAGGGTCCCGGCACTTATTGGGCCTTCAGCACAACAGCCAGCAGCGAAGTAACTGGCATATGCTTTTGACCATATTCCAGCAACAATTGCTATTATTAAAGAAAGTGATCCAAATGTGGATTGCTGTTTCATGGTGGCAAGGTGAAAGATGGACAGTGTGTCTGCATATCAAGAAATCCCCAGAGGCAAAGAAAATGAGAGCAAAAACCAGCCACATCAGATTCATTCTTTAGTAGAAATCTTCCAGGGACTCAGACCAGCCTTCCCCATGATGTGGTGACATAGCTTGTCCTAATACCTTTTAACTCTCCCCTTACTTGTGTTGTTAGAAGATGATAATGATAACTTTTACTCAATTATTTTCAGGCAGGATACTGCAGTAGTTAATGCAATATCATTAAGTTACCTTTGTACTTATATTTGTATATTGTATATTATACATTAAGTTATATTTTAAAATTACGTGATTAATAAATTGCTATAACAGAATGAATAATTCTCTTCTTAAGCACATAACTGTATAATTAATAAGGGCATTAATAGACTAGGTTTTATACTAATGTTATTAGTATATATTATAAAAATATTCTATATTGGTTGCAAATTTATGTATCCTGAGAATGCATCCTTTTTCTTCTATATATGGGACAGTTAGTTTTGAATTATTCTGGGTTTTCAAGAATACATCCCTCATTTATTTATTTATTTTATTTTATTTAAAAAAAATTTTTTTTTTTAACGTTTATTTATTTTTTTGGGACAGAGAGAGACAGAGCATGAACGGGGGAGGGGCAGAGAGAGAGGGAGACACAGAATCAGAAACAGGCTCCAGGCTCTGAGCCATCAGCCCAGAGCCCGACACGGGGCTCGAACTCACGGACCGCGAGATCGTGACCTGGCTGAAGTCAGACGCTTAACCGACTGCGCCACCCAGGCGCCCCAACATCCCTCATTTAAATAGGACTGCCCTATGTATTTTTTCTCTATGTGGAGTACCTCTATAATTCACCAGTCATTTAAACTGTGTTATAGAATAGCTCTGATTAATGTTTTCGGTTTAGTCAATACAAAGTATATGTAGTACTCTTAAATTTAAAAAAAAAATGAAAGTTTTAGAATCTTTTCTTTGTTTCTCTCAGACTTTAGTTTGACTCTCCTTCAAGTTATTTAAATAGTCTTAAATTTTAGGGGAAGGTGAGATATAGAAAAGGACAAAGAAGAAAATCTGCACAAGTCAGGGCTCCTGTGTGGCTCAGTCAGTTGAGCGTCCAGCTCTTGATTTCGGCTCAGGTCATGATCTCATGAGTCATGGGTTGAGCCTTGCATCAGCCTCCATGCTGACAGTGTGGGCCTTGCTTGGGATTCTCTCTCTCTCTTTCCCTCTCACCCCATCCGTGCTGTCACACACTCTCTCAAGATAAACTTAAAAAAATGTGCACAAGTCAGCAGACTTCCTAGGTAGTAATGTTTTAGACTAAACTTGCCATATAGACTCTGTTGCAACTCCTCATCTCTGCTGTTGTGCAGAAGTAACCATAGACAATCCATAAATGAGTAAGTGGCTGCATTCCAATAAAATTTTATTTACAAAACCAGGTGGTAGGCTGGGCTTGGTCCACTCTAAACTCTGCTAACTCCTGCTCTACTGTATTCTCACCATTGAGAATTAACCATTGTTAGATTGGGCTTATTTGCTTAGTTTTAGTCTATCTTTTTTTTTCTTTTTCTTTTAAAACTTATGTTTTTTTTCCTAAATTGAAGTATAATTGACATACAGTATCCTATTAGTTTCAGGAGTACATCAGTACATCATAGTGATTTGATATTTTTATACATTGTAAAATGATTCCCGGGGCGCCTGGGTGGCTCAGTCGGTTAGGCGTCCGACTTCAGCCAGGTCACGATCTCGCGGTCCGTGAGTTCGAGCCCCGTGTCGGGCTCTGGGCTGATGGCTCGGAGCCTGGAGCCTGCTTCTGATTCTGTGTCTCCCTCTCTCTCTGCCCCTCCCCCGTTCATGCTCTGTCTCTCTCTGTCCCAAAAATAAATAAACGTTGAAAAAAAAATTTTATAAAAAAAAAAATGATTCCCACAGTAAGTTGTAGTTACCATCTGTCACCATACAAAGTTATTACATTTTTATTGATTTTGTTCCTTGTGTTGTACATTACATCCCAATGGTCTATTTTTCTTATAACTGGACGTTTGTACCTCCTAATCCCCTTCACCTGTTTTGCCTGTCCCACC